GAGTTTCTCTTTATAAACCAGCTTAGTTTTATGCATATTTTACGAATGAAGATTGAAGGAGACGAAGGGGGGAGAGGGGTAAGAGAGAAGCGGAGGCTGGTTTGAGATGGAGGAAGGAAGAGATCTAGAGTTGAAGGTTTGGAGAAGAATCGAAGGGAAGAAGAATCGATAAAGAACATAGATGAAATCTCTCTCTGAACCTTCTAGTCGAGAGAGAAAACAAAATTAAGATTTCTGTCTAAAATTAAATTGGAAATCGCGGTTTGGTAATATGTTTAACGAAATCGTCCCTAATCCGTGACAAAAGAGTGGCAGTTTAAGTTTTTTGTGGGGGGGGGGGATTTTGGGCGTGGCGCCGAAAATTCCAAATTAAGCGAAATGGACAAAAAATTTTAAAACAAAATTTTTAAAACGGTCACAAAAGCATCGCGATGATCAATCCGTCACAAAAACGTTATGCAAGATTCGTAAATTTGCGACTATTTACTAACGCCCATAGTAGTCACAACTCGAAACCCTAAACCCTAAACATTTACACTTATAATTGTGTGCTAAATTCCTTTCCAATATGTTTTCCATTTACTTGTTAGAGTGATATTTAACTTCTAAAATAAATTTCCATCCAAACCTAATGATTTCCAAATGTAAGATTGAAATCATATTGAGTTTATGATCAAAGTTGATTAAACATGGTGAGATGGTTTGAAATTTGTAGAAATTTAAAAATTTCAAATATTCTAATGGTATATGTAATGTAGCTAGTTCAATATATCAATTTACATTCGGAAATGTGACTTTTTAATATTCATACTTTGTAATTTTCTCAAAAATCATAGTGTGAGTTGCTAAACAGTCGGAAATAAGTCACAAATATATAACGCTTTTGTAACTACTATAATGGCGTCACAAATTTGAGACTATTTTGTAACTAACTTAAAAAATAAAAGTAAAATGATTGATCTTTTGTTCGAACCACGGACCCGATTGGCTTATGACAAGCCTCTTCCATCATGCTAAGGTGTTATATGTTATGTACTTGCTAATATTCGTGTATAAACTTCCACTAACGAGTAAATCGAAAAATGTGGGTCATTATGTAGAACCCATGAATCGAACCCAACTCTCTCGGTCGTTAATAAGATGTGTTGCCACTAGGCTGTTGTAACCAGTCAGTATTGTATCACATCATCTTGTATATATTTCTAAGATAGTCGTAAATTCGTCGTCCCTAGAGTAACTTTTATCCATTGAGTGACGGTCCTTCCACTCGGCACCGTCTGATCACTAAGACCGACTTTTGTCCCTGCTCGACGGGTGGATCTTGCAGTCAACTCGTAAATTTGCGACAGTTTTACGACTATCTTAATTGACAAAGTAGACAGTCAAAATGTAGTTGTAAAATCGTCGCAAATTTGCGACCACCTAAAACCAATCGATTATTGGTCTTATTTTCGTCTCTAATTAGGGACAGAATTACAACTATATTCGTCCGTCGTAATTGTGCGACGATTTTGCTACGATTTTGTGTATGGCCACAAATGTGTCAAGAAACCATCACAAAGGAGTCACACATTTTTGTGACGGAAATAAAAGTCACCAAAAATTGTCACAGATTCACTGTTTTCTTGTATTGCCCCTATATTCTACTTCTCGCATCTTTTCTTTTCCTCCTCCTCATCCGAGTGACAGTGCCCTTCTTCCTTATTTCCCAAGTTTAGTGTCTCCCTTGTCAACCAATTTCAAGTTTTCAAAGTTGGTTTGATTGTCAATTGTCATTATGCAAAATTTGTTCAACATATTCTTTTTTTTTTGTAATGTAAACTTTATTCGAGAAAAGGATTTTTTACAATGAGATGTGTTGTTTCTGAACCAAAAATAGAAACTGATATCAAAGTCTTTTCTTTTTGGGCGTAAAATTGAAGTCTAATAACCAAAGAAACAGAGGAAGAACATAACTTCCTCGAATTCTTCTTCTAGTTGCAAACTAGAGCATGGTAAGGCTATCACAACAATGATCCTCCATCGATCCAATAGCGATCAGTTTGTCACTCATAGTCTTTGTGGATGGTAGAACCTGCACAGTTAAATTTTGTCAAGAGTTTCAAGAGGATTGAGTCTTCCAAGTACGAAATCACACACAAATGATTGAAAAGGATTCTTATTGTTGTTTTTGTTAAATCTTAAGAATACAAGAGTTTTGGTGTAAAGAATTGCGGATCCCCTCTCAAGGGAAAATACAGGAAGTTTTCTTTATCCTTGAAGTCGGCCACGCGGAGTGGGCCGCGCCGACCTGCTCGGCCCGTCTTGGTATGTCTTGGACTCGGCCCGCCTCGTCTCGTTATGGGCTTTATCTCGTTATGGGCTTGCCTCGTGGGCTTCCTAGTTGTGTCAACCTTCTTCCTCATTTTGAACTTGTCTTTCCCGCCAGGTTGTGTTCTCAGACTTGACGGGCTTAATCACTTCAGCTTCGCCATCTTGGTAGCACTGCCACGCTGTGCGCCTTGCCTGGTAAGTCGTCGTGTCGGATGCTGGATAACCGGGTTCGACTAGTCGTTTTCGACCCGTCGTTTTCGACCTAATTTCCATACTTAGTCATTTTCCAGCTTTTGGTTTTACGAGGGTGGAATTTGACCCCCACAGTCTTGTCAATTGTTGTTGCAGAATATAGTTA